GAGAGAGAGAGAGAGATGTCTCCAACTCTCTGCAACCCGAGACACTGGTTTCCTTGAGTGTTACAGCCAGAGAGAGGTTGGGCACCTTGGCCGCGATCTCCGCGCTCTTCATGGCAGTGTTTCCAGCATCTGCAGCCATTTCACCTTTGCAGCGGGCTGTGCAACATTGAGACTTGCCCGAATGGTCCACGCTGCCGATGCAATGCATCTAACCTGCTTGCATGCTCGATATGCAAATTGACTCACCCCAGGTCCTGAACCTCAAGCCCTGTTTGCAACCACTGTGAAAACACCAAAATCTACCGTTTGAAAAATAATCACCAACCTGCACACCTCACACCTGCCCTTAAGGAGTCGTTTGTAGTTGGCTTGGCCTGCCGCGATCCCCGCAGCTTTGGCGCTGACCTTGACAAGGCCGCAAAACAGCCCTCTGGGGGCATTTTAGGTTGTTCTCCAAGACTCTATTCGGCGACAATTTTCGCATGCACGCTTCCGAAGGCAGGACAAGGTTTCGGCATCAGGAGTAATCTTGCAGGAAGTGAGTGAAGAGCTGGGAATACCACACGAAGCAAGGTCTCCGGACTGGAATCCAGCTACCGATTCGGACGACAGTGCCTTCTTGTTGGCCACATCCTTATAGATAAAGGTTCTGAAGCAGTCGGACGACTGCTGGGCTGAAACCCTGACACATCCGAATCAACTCTGAACAGCCAAGCACAAATTTCAAAACGAGCTTGTGTTCCCACGGCTGCCTCGGCCACGTGCTGCGGTGTGCTGCCGGCCTCCTCTGCAGCCGCACACGCCGCGATCGTTGCCTCTATGTTCGATGCTCTTCGTTTTGAGGGTAATTCCTTGACATGACAAACAGTTTGTGTAAATAAAACAAAGATATCACGTAGCACGACCACCATCTTTTGCCTCATCAATCAGGACTAATCGTCATCACAGCACAATCACACAAACAAGCCCATGGTCACACGCACATAGACAGACACACAGACGCACAGACACATAGAGACACAAACACAGACACGAACACAAGCACACACGCACGCATGCACGCACTCACGCATGCATGCACGCATGCAAACACAGACACACACACACACACACCACACAGACACACACACACAGAGACACACACACACACACACCACCGGGACATCTTCTCCGAAATCTCTACGTTTCCAGCCACATGTTGACCTCGTCACGCAAGCAAAAGGAATCTCATGCTTGCTATAACAGCTGTATGAAAAGCCACTGCAGAAGATGTGTTGCAACGTCTGAAACATATTCTTTGTTGATTTAGTTCATAGAATTTAAATGAATCTCCAAAGCCTCCGGCCTCCTCTGCCACCTGCTCCAGTGTCAGACCCGCATCGATCGCCACGCGTGTGGCAAAGGTGCCCGCAGCTTCCGCTGCTGCATCGGCCGCCTGTGAGATCCGCTCCAAAGACTGAAAGCACGAATCATAGACTGGTGAGAGCGGGCCGATCTACCTTTGGAGAGAGAGAGAGCGCGCAGGGAGATGCAACCTTGTGAATGTGAGTGTGAAGGAGTGAGAGAGAGAGAGAGAGAGAGAGAGAGAGAGAGAGCGAGCGAGAGAGAGAGAGTGTGTGTGTGTGTCTCTGTCCGCGTGGCTGTCTGTAGGGGTTGTTTCGGAGATGCCGTTTTGGTGAAGTCGAGCGACTCCATATTCCATCCTAGAAACCTGCGAACCTGATTTCGTGACTCTTCGAACCCAAACTTAAGAAACCTGCTGTTGTGTGGCTATCAGGGCTGCTGTCGATGACGGTGTGATTTTTCATACATTCCCTACGAGGCGGCCCGGCAAAAGCAGGCGCCAAAGCCTGCACCTTGCCGGCCGTATTCCTAAACCCTAAACCCCTAAACCCCTAAACCCTAAACCCCAAACCCAAAGCCTGCACCCTGTCGGCCGTATCCGTGGCCAGTTTGCCAGCGGCTCGCCCTCCCAAGGCCGCTGCATCCTTGGGGCAGTCAACACAGCTCCCAGAAAGCCCAATACCCCTTAAGTAAGGAATATACCTTAGATTATAGGGGCCTGAATATTAGGATTTAAGGTATATTCCTTAATTAAGGGGTATTGGGCTCTCTGAAACCCTGCAGGTACCTACTATATAGGGCCCTATATAGGGGCTCTAGTACCCTATATAACCT